CACCTCATCTCCACAATAAATCAAAAAATTAGCCGGGCGTGGTAGCGCACACCTGTAGTTCCAGCTACCTGGAAGGCTGAGGCGGAAGGATCGCCGGAGCCCAGCAGGTCGAGGCTGCGGTGGCCGGGAGCGTCCACTGCACTCCAGTCTGGGTGACAGAGTGAGACTCCAACTCAAAATAAAAAAAGAAAAGAAAAGAAAAGGATATCAAATCTGTTTTGTCACCTTCTTCTGGGCTGTTTTTCCTTTGCCAGCCTATTCATGGTTTGTGTGTCCTGGAATTTTATCCTTGTCTTTTCTCATCCTTCATGTCTATTCTGTGAAAGCCCAAACATCCTCATGACTTCTGCTTCTACCTAACTCATGACTGCAAATCTAAAGATAAATCTTCAGCCTTGAGCACCCAGTGTCCTGCCAGACATCTCCAGCTGGCCATCTAGAAAGAACTCAGTCTTTCTAGAATTATTCTCTTTCTCTTATCCCTGCAAATGTGCTCTGCTACCTTCCCTTCTCATCTAAGCTCAAAGTGCTGAGTGTCTTCACTTCATCACCTTCTACTCTGTTAATCTTGCAAGATATGGTGGGATGGGGAATGTGTCACCTCTCACTGGTGAGCTGAATGACCTTAAGTCCCCATCCTACTCTGCGACTTGGCTTCATCAGTAAAATAGTGATTAGACCAGAAAAATCTCCATGGCTCACCCTCCATAATCTATTTAAAAATTTACAAGTCTTTGGGAAAAACTAGCACAGGTTCATTTTATCCATGGAGGATGAAGTGCATATACTGTCTTTCACTGAACCCTTTAAGCAACATTGTGGAAGGTCAACAGAACTACAGGTGCAAAATTTTCACACTTCTGGAGGACTCCATAATGAAAGTATTTCTGTCTTGGGGTTGCCATCCTTGGCTTGACCAGAAGGCTTTTCCTTCCCTGATTTAAAAAAAGAATGCCTTCCCTCCCTTGCAGGTAGTACCAGTGACATCATGACGAGTGATCACAGCCCTGTCTTTGCTACATTTGAGGCAGGAGTCACTTCTCAGTTTGTCTCCAAGAATGGTAAGCAATGGACAGTGTCTGTTTCTCTGTTTTCCTCAAAGACAAGGGGTATTGGGCACTCATCTTCTGATTTCAGCATCAGTTGGCCACGTTAGATGAAGGTGCATCCTTCTGGGCAAGTCCACAGTTCATCCATCAGGTCTCTTCATGTCCAAGCCACAGTAGGATCTCAGTTCAGAAAACTTACTTGCTCTGGTTGGCAAATATATCAGCCTTTTGAGTCTCAGTTTTAGTCTGAAAATATTGGTAAGTTAGTGTTTATTGAGTTGTGTCCTGTCTACCACCAAAGATGAATCTGGGGGATCATGGGGCATGTATAAACATTTATTAGCAGTGCATTTATTTTAATATGGTTTAAATTTGTCTCTTGACTGGGCGCAGTGGCTCAAGGCTGTAATCCCAGAACTTCGGGAGGTAGAGGCAAGAGGATTGTCTGAATCTAGGGGTTCCAGACCAGCCTGGGCAACTTGGTGAGACCTCCTCTCTACAGTAAATTTTAAAAAAACTTAGCCAGGTGTGGTGGAACACACCTGCAGTTCCAGCTACTTGGAAGGCTGAGGCAGAAGAATCATCCAAGCCCAATAGGTTGAGGCTATGGAGGCCAGAAGCATGACGTAGCACTCCAACCTGGGTGACAGAATGAGACTCTGACTTAAAGAAATAAAAAATTGTCTCTTCTGTGTAAGGCAAACAACATTGGCTTCCCATTTAGAATTGTGATGCACCTTACTTTATTTCATTTAAATTTTAAAAATGAGTCTATTTAAAGAAAATATTAAGTAAATAGTACAGGTACGTGGTAGGCAGAGATGGTAAAAATTGTGAAGATGTGATGCAGATGACTGAATTTTGGGAACACTAGAGTAAATGATTCTTAGATTTGCAGATAATTTTTCAAAGGAACCAGCTGTGTCCTGGTTCCAGTCTATCCTCATCCCAACGAGGACAGGTGTTCTCTGTAACTTGGTCATCCAGTTCTCAACCTGGGTGTCAGGAAAACATGGTGTCACCTCCTCTTGCCCACTCCCTACTTCTGTGGTCAGCAATCTGGGCTCATTTGGGATGACTGAGAGTGGGGACTCTAATACAAGTTAGGAAAGTTTGTCTTCACTCATGTCCTTCATTGTCATGATGGATGTAGGTGAGGCTGGAACACTGTTCCTGGGATGTTCTTCTCCACGCTGTTGGGTCTAACATCCACAGCACCAGCAATGTCACTTCCCTTCTCCACCCAAGCCTTGACCCACCACCCTGTCTCCTTCCGAGTGCTGGTCATTGTCCTTCCAGAAACTTCCTAGCCTTTAGGTTCCACCTCTTCCCCAACTCTCACCTGTCTCCCCTTTCCCTGAGTTCCTGCAGCATTGATGGGGTTGCCCCTGCCATCTCCTCCTCGGTTACTGGGTAGAGCATCCTTAGTGTCAGGCTCAGCTTGCCTCCACTGGGACTTTGTACATAGGTGATGCTCAGACATACTGATTACCTGAATTGAGTATTGATTGAATGCCGACCTAAGCAGCGCCTGGTCTAGGGGTTTAGAAAGAGAAAAGAAGAAAGGAAGAGTGGGAAAAATGGAGGAAGGAAACAATGTTCTTGCTCTCAAATGGCTCAGGATTTATATGGAAGGAAAGAACACTTGTTTACAGCCAGCTTAAGGGTGCTTGCAAAAACATCATTAAGTTAATCCAGTTACAAGCAAGTTAACTGAGTATAGATGAGCTTATGGAGCCCAGAGTAAAAAGTGTGAGTAACTGGCCTAAGGAAGAAAGAGCAAGAATTTTAGAAACTGAACAGATTTGGGCAGTGAGCAACTGTACCATTCTACAAACTCTCTTTACCAGAACTGGTGGGTAGACTGAGGTAGGGAGGTGAAGGGAGTTGCCCAAGGCCATGCAGTTTTAGCAGCATCCCTGAGCCTTGCTCTTGACTCCTTGAACTCTTCACCTTCTGCTCTGCATCATTGTCAGCTCATGATGCCTGAGAGAGGCCATGACCATTGTTGGGATGCTCAAGTGGGAGGTGGGTCTTGTTGTAACTTTACCTCAAGCAAAGATCTCCTTCCTCTAGACTCCCACTGTACTTGGATTCTAGCAAGGAGCTCAGTGTATGGGAGGAGGATCGGCTTGAAACGCTGAATCTCTAAGCGCATCATGGAATTGAACCCCTGTCCTCCCCTGTTCCAGGCCCTGGGACCGTCGACAGCCAAGGGCAGATTGAGTTTCTCAGGTGCTATGCCACATTGAAGACCAAGTCCCAGACCAAATTCTACCTGGAATTCCACTCAAGCTGCTTAGAGAGTAAGTGGCTGCAGTGGGTGGGGCAGGCCACAACTCTTTCTCATAAATGCCTTTTCATAAACAGTGCTTTGTCCTATTTCTCCTCCCCCCCCCCCGGAAAGGACTCACAGATGGGCCTCAGTGGGGTCAGACAAGTGGAGCTTCAGGTGGAGGGTCTAGGGGACACTCAGTTCCTGTGAGGTGGGTCTCCCTGTGGCCTGGGTGGCCGCTTCTCCAGCCCTTGGGGGAGGGGCAACCATGGATGTACTGCTCCCTCAGTCCCTTATAGGCAGCAGGTCCCTCCCTGCCCACTCCACAGTGGGGCAGACTGTGACCCACTCAAAGTTTTCCCCATGCTGGGGCTCTGACTCAACCAGAGAGTGCTGACCCAAGGTCCAGAGCTCATAAAGGTCGGCACTGGGGCCTGGACAGCTACAACTCACTGCCCATTGTTGCCCTGGCCCCTCTTGCTTTTTCGAAACAACAGCAGCTTTCTCAGGCAGTCTGCAGCATCCAAAAACAAGCTGGAGACGGACAGCCTCCTCTGAGCCAGCAGCCTTTAGCACAAACTGTGTTTAGGAAACATGATTTCTGGGTGACATTTCTAGGCATATTGTCTGAAGTTGTCTCATGGCAAGGGAAGATTTGTGTGGTGTCTAGCACTCCTTGCTGAGATGGTCTGGACAGTGGCAGGGGAGGGGAAGGGGACATCAACTCCACAAAAGGGCATTTTGTGAGGGCACAACTGGGATGCATCCAGAAATCAGGAAGAAGCATGACCCGCCAGCAACAATTCTGTCTCTCCACTGACTAACTTCCTTCTCTGACTCCACCAGGCCCAGGCCTGATGATAGAGCAGCCTTCGTCTCTGAGTTCCCAAGCCCCAGTTCACCAAGCAGGGTCAAAGCAGTTCCAAAAATGATGAGGATTCTTGTGCGGGTGTTTTTAATAAACTATCGAGACACTTGCATACATTTCTATGGAAACAGCATATTAGGAGGCTTAAATTAGAATTTCAAAAGGCTGCTATCTTGAGTGGCGTGGGATGAGCTGTCATGTTTCCTAATCTTCTTGCCTATGATGTGATGATTTCTTTGTTGCCTGGTTTGTTGCAAAGAGGAGATGGAAAGGAGGGGGAATCTCTTTGATTTTCCTAAAAATAATTAGACTGTGTTGGCAAATGACCATCTCCTGCACAAAAACAGAATCCCCAACAAGCCTGACTCCTAAATGATGCTGAGGCCCCCAAAGATTAAAAAAAAAAAAAAAAAAAAGGAGTGAGAGCTTCTTCCTACGTTTAGGCAGTTCATCTGGTTCTTGCTGTTTTCTGAAAACCAGCCTTCTTATCCTCCAACAGGTTTTGTCAAGAGTCAGGAAGGAGAAAATGAAGAAGGGAGCGAGGGAGAGCTGGTGGTGAAGTTTGGTGAGACCCTTCCAAAGGTAATTCCTGGGGTTAGGTGTTCCCAGGGAGAATTTTGCATTCACCAGACTAGCATTACCAGCCAGTGGCAGAACTACAGCTGGGCCTGAGCAGAGAGCAGGAATCACACAGACCAGATGCAGAAGAGGCCAGCCTCAGACTTGCCAACCCTGCGAGCAAGCTCTCATTCAAGGTGGTTTCTGGTATGCTTTTCAGCAGTGGTATAAGTGGCCCCAATATTCCCAAATGGTTTCAATTCCCCTAATGGATATAAGAAGGGATCTAGAGGTCAGCTCGTCTAACCACGTGATTTTACAAAGAAGGAAACTGAGGTGCAGAGCCAAGAGACTTTTGTTCAAGGTCATGTGGTTGTAGTGACAGACCCAGTCCCCAAGACCCCCAATTCCCCTTTGGTGCTCGTTCAGCACCGGCTTGTAGAATCAAGTGAAGGCAGAGAGAAGAGTTTGTTGGTATCTAACCATACATGTGAACGCAGGAAGTACTTGACATGACTGTGGCCCCACACAAACAGAAGGTAGCATTAAAAATATGCAGGCAGGCTGGGTGCAGTTGCTCATGCCTATAATCCCAGCACTTTGGGAGGCTGAGGTGAGAGGATTGTCTGAGCCTGAGGGTTCGAGACCAGCCTGGACAACTTGGTGAGACCTCATCTCTACAATAAGTCAAATAATTAGCCAGGCATCATGGCGCATGCCTGTAGTTACAGCTACTTGGAAGCCTGGGGTGGAAGGATTGCCTGAGCCAAGCAGGTTGAGGCTGTGGTAGCCAGGAGCATGCCACTGCCCTCCCGCCTGGGTGACAGAGTGAGACTCCATCTCAAAAAAAAGAAAGAAAGAAAAGAAAAAGAAAAGAGGCAGGCAAACCTTAGTGGGAACACATTCATCTTTATTTTAGAAAAATTGACTTTCTACGAAACCGCTCTAGTGATGCTAAATTGACAGTGGAGGTATTTGCTGTCACTGAATACGAACTTAGCTGCTTCAGATGTTCATGCTAGGTTCGAAGTGGAGAAGGACACAATTGCTTTCTCCTATCACAAAGGGAGTCCAGGGCTAGCAGATCCATCACAGGAGGATGGGGCCTTGGGGGCTTGCCTGGAAGAGTCCCTCACAGGTGACACCCAAGGTGAGTTTTAAAGTACAGCATTAAACAGGTGGAGGGACACATCATCTCTCCAGCTGGGACAGATTTTGTGGGGCTGGGCTACCCACGCTGGCATTAACCATTGATTGGAACCAACTCTTGGGCCACATAGAAAGGCCATTTCATCTCAGGAACAGAGGCTGATCCCAAACTCCAGATTTTTCTGATTTGGGTTTAATTTCAAATCACCTAGAGGCCTCAGCCAGTTCAACTGACTCTGATTGGGGTCTTCCACTGAAGCCCTGGGACAGCTGCCTGAGGATAGCCTCCCAAGTCTTGGGGACTCTGGGATCCAAGGAGACGTTTCTGCCTCACCCAACCCAAGCCCACCCTCCTGCTCCTCCTCTCCTGCCACTTCCATGCAGGACCTGAACAATTGTTTCCTCTGGTGAAGTTGTGTGATACCCGCTCTCAGTCCCCAGCACATCCACCCCCTTGTCCAGCCCAGAAACCACCCAGGACACCTTGTCTTCCTCCACACCCTAACTGTCACCATCTTAACTGCTGTTCCTCCTACCTCTGGCCCTCTTCTCCATCCCAGTGCCCCTTCCCAGGGGGCTCCACCCCTCCTATCTTCCTACTAAGGCATCCTGAAGTCTGGTGGATCTTTCTGGAATGCCCATCTGATCCTGGCATTTCCCTCTCTATCTGGTCGACTCCCTGGTGCCAAGTGGGGTGGGCCCCCCTCACTCTTCAGCCTCCTCTTCTGCTGTTCCTACAGAACTGTGGGGGCCTTCACTGCCTTCTGCTCCTTGACCCTCTACCTCCACTCTTGTCACCTGACAGCCTTTTCTCTTCTCCCTCTAAATCCCTGTTGTGGTGCCACAGATAATCCCCCTCCATGCTACCCTCCATTATAGTAGTTGTGTCGCTCAGAGACGTTCATTGTTCAGATATTTGTCACCCCACTCCCTATTGCATCTCAAGGAGGACAGGATCTTCTTCTGGCCCTGGCCCCAGGTCTAACTTAGAGCCAGACATCACTACATGTCAGTGAGTCAAGTGGTTGGTGTTGTCACAGACTCCTACAATGCCCCAGAACTCCACTACAATTTCCAGTCATTTGTTCTTGAACTTTCTAAATGGTGAGATAGAGAGTCCATCCTATTGGTCAATGTAGCACGCAGAGCCCTGTTTCAGGGCCTTTTTGGGGTCTGTGGAAGGGAAGGAAGGGGACAGCCTAAAGCAGTGTATGACTTTTTTATTTGGCCCTTCTGTGTTGGTGTCATCGTGAAGAACAGTCCTGTGTTGTAGAGGCACTAGTTGCTAGTGTGTGCAACACTCCCCCGCTGTGCTTACACAGGCTCAGCCCTGGTGAGGTCTGAGGTTCCTCCATTGCTGAGCAAAATCTGCCATTGCCATAGCCCCAGCCCCAGCCAGACTAGTGGAGTCAGTGTGTGTGTGTGTGGGGGGAGCCAACAGTTTCTAGCTCTAAAAAGTTACTCACAGCAGGAAGTCAGGGACAGACCTGTGATGCAGAAGTCTGTGCCAAGACATACCCAACAGCCCCCAGGATACTCCAGGCCTCACTGGGGGGCTCTGCTGCAGCAAACACAGAAGCCATATCCTCCCAGGTGGGGGCCAAGCCCGTGGTGCCACATTGGATGTAGTTGCAGTCCTGGAGGAGGCCAAGAGGAAGGACTGTGCCCTGCTGGAAGGAACCTGGGACAGAGTAGGGTGCATGGGTCATTCCAGACCTGGTTCCAGACCCCATTTCCCTATCACCTGGTCTCCTCCCGCATGATACTGGGATGTGCAGAGAAAGGAAGGGAGGCCTGAACTGGGGCCCATTTGGGATTAGGCCTTCTCCTTGGAACCTGGGAATGCAGCCCAGCTTAAGAAGCCTGGGGTAGAGTGTGGTTGGGGGAACAGGGAAGAAATTTAACTCCCGCCTTTCTAGGTAGGGTGTGCACATGGGTTCCTACCTGAGATTTGAATCAGCTTAACAAGAACACCTTCCATCCTATTTCTCACACACACTCCATTTCTGATCGGCAACACTCCTCCACCTGTTCACTCACCTGTCCTTTCACCTGTCTCCTACCTGTCAGCTCTAATCCTGTGCCCTTCTCTCTGCAGCTGAAGCCCATCATCTCTGACCCCGAGTACCTGCTGGACCAGCACATCCTCATTAGCATTAAGTCCTCTGACAGCGATGAATCCTACGGTAAGGGCCTTGGATCAGACACCACACCAGCCTCTGACAAAGAGAGAGGCAGCAGTACCTCCTTCAGGGAAAGTCCACCTGCCACCCCCACTCTATTCTCCTGTCACTCCTTTTCTCATTCCAGGACTGCTGGAAGAACTGTCACCAGTAAGTCATCCTTGCCTCCCCATCAGGCTGTGGGCAGAACAACCAGCAGTCACAGCCCCTCCTATTTACTGAGCCTTCCCTGCGTGTCAGATGGGTGTCAGGGGCTTTGCAGGTGTTATCTAATTTAATCCTGACAAGACCTTGCGAAGCAAGTACTATTCAGATGAGTAAACAGAGGCTCAGAGAGCTCAAGTGACTTGTCCAACTCAAACAAATAGCAATTGGCTAAGCACTTGTTTGAACCCAGGTCTGCCTACACTGCTCTGCTTGTGTGTCCTGGCCAGTCTCCTCAGCTTGTGTGTCCTGGCCGTCCTCCAGCAGCCTCCCTCCACATGAGGACTATCTCCCCCAGCCAGAGGGATTTGAGCTGAGGTGTGGTAGGGTCCCCTGGGTGGGGCTTTGGGTGCCAGAAACATCTGCCCAGTACTCTCTGGTCTTCTGCTCAGCCCAACCTCCCTCCTTCCCAGCAGGCTAGTAGAAGCCTGTGCCTCCAATAAATGTCCCACGAGAGAGATACCAGCGGTCTTTGTACCACCTGCAGTCTGTCTGGATTCTCTCTTGCACTTGGTACATCCATTGTGGCTAGAGCACAGGGTGAGAGGGGAAGGGACCAGGCAGAGGCTGGAGGCAACTCTTTACAAGCCAGGATAACTGTGCATGAAAGCAATCGGGAGTCACTGAAGATTCAGGTAAGGCAGTAATAGAATCAGAGTCATGTCTTAGAAATCTGTTTGCAGTGATCAAGACGAAAGATGAGCAAGCCATAATGAAGAGAGTGATAGTATTTAACACCCAGGTGTTGGCAGAGCCTATACAGTGGGTGACTATGCAAGAGGTTATCCTCTGTGACAAAATAAAAGTAGTGACAGTAAAAAGGGAGAGAAGAGGATACCATTGAGAAGTATAGGGTAGAGAAATTGTTTGGGCATGAGGACTGGGGAAAAGTGGTGTCAAGGATGACCCTGCACTTCCTGTCTGAGCAGCTGGGTTAATGGTGCTTCCATTCCTGCACCGCATCAGTTACACTACAACAGACAGAGAGTTGGAGAAGACCAAAGGCTGTGGTGTTGGGGACACCATCAGAAAAGAGTTGAATTGCCTGGATAGTGGTTCGCACTTATAATCCCAACACGTTGGGAGGCTGAGGTGAGGAACATCACTTGAGCCTAGGAGTTCTAGACCAGCCTGGATGATTTAGAGAGGCATTGTGATATGGCCAGGCATGGAGGCTTGTGCCTATAGTCCCAGCTGCTCAGGAGGCTGAGGTGGGAAGATCACTTGAGGCCAGGAGTTGGAGGCTGCAATAATCTATGATTTCACCGCTGCACTTCAGCCTGGGCAACAGAGCAAGAAAGGATAGCCCTGCAAGTGGTTGCCTACTGTGCAGGCTTTCCCAACACCTGGGTGTAGGCATTAACACTCCCCTCATTGGGGAGGTGTGGAAAGGATGCCGGGAAATCTGAAGAGACTTGTGCAAGGTCATGTAGCTACTAAGTGGCTTATCAGAGGTAACTATATGACCTTGGACTTGAGCCCAGGCAGCCCAGCTCCAAAATCTCTGCCCTTCTCCCCCTGCCCAGTATAGTGCCAGTAGTGGGTTCCTGCTTCAGGGCAGGGGTGGGCAGAGCCTGAGGAGCATGAGGGCTCTGAATCAGGACCTCCACGTCTATCCTGACAGGGGCGAGAGGATCCATGAAGATGCTGGAATATTTGAAGCTTGGGTGGCAGGAAACAGTCAGTACAAGCAGCAAATGCTTCCATTTTCTCATTCAAATCCTATATTCCGACTTCGTTTCCTTGCCTTGATATGCATTCTCACAAACAGCATATCACAATAATAAAAAGGGAAAGAAATCAACAGGCAGTCTCATTCCCCAGTGCAGCAATCATTTCCATTTTGTCTTTGCATTTCTGTCCTCATGTCCAGGCATACATTTTTCATACTTCTCATCACAGAGGTACCATTTTATACTCTGCTTTCCTCACCTAGTATTAGACAAAACACACTTTCCATGGTCCTCCTACACTCTTTGTGATTGTCCCTTTTGATGACTGCACAATATTCCCTGAATTTGCTGTGCATGTGTGTGTTTAAGTATTCCTTATTACCGTTATTGAGGCTCTGCCAGTTACTTTTATTGGTACTATCAACAAAACTGAGGTGGGCATTTTTTATTCTTCAGCTACATCTTTTATTCTTTTGGGTCATTTCTTTAGGACAGGTTCCCATGTTTGCTGGGTCAGAGGATATCAATATGTTTATGATCCTTAGCACTTGACATCAAACTGATTGCCATGAAGGCTGGTTCAGCTGACCTGCTACTACAGGTTTCCCCAGACTGAAATCTGGACCCTTGCTGATGTCATGTGTTATTTATCTCCCTTTTATTTTGTGCTAATTTTATGTCTGTGAGAGAGCACCTCACAGCTTCCTTAGTTTCTATTTTTGATGGCTAGGAAGGCTGAACTATATTCCATTTATTGAGGTTAATCTTTTGTGTGAAATGTCTGTTTGGATTATTGGTCTTGTATTGTCAGTCTTGTTTTATCATATCTTATATTGCATCAGACCTTAAGAAGTTACCATTTCCAGGCTGAGGTGAGAGGATTGCTTGAGCCCAGGAGTTCAATACCAGCCTGGACAACATAACAGACCTTGTCTCCACAAAAAATTAAAAACTTAGCTAGGTATGGTAGTGCATGCCTGTAGTCCCAGTTACTTGAGAGGCTGAGGCAGGAGGATCACCTGAACCCAGGAGGTTGAAGCTGCAGTGAACCATGATCACGTCACTGCACTCTAGCCTGGGCAACAGAGTGAGACCCTGGCTCAAAAAAAAAAAAAAGAAGTTACCATCCCCTACAATCAGATTAGTGTTTAACTCGGTTTTTCTGCTACATTTTCTATGATATAATTGGGAATTTTTTCCACGTCAACTAATCCACACCGAGTTCATTTAGCTGTAAGTTTTGAGACACTTGCCCCAAATTGCTGTGGTATTATTCTGAAAGACTTATTAATTAGCCCTTGCGCCGGGTTCGGTGGCTCAGCCTGTAATCCCAGCACTTTGGGAGGCTGAGGTGAGTGGATTGCCTGAGCCCACGGGTTCAAGACCCACCTGGGCAACTTGGTGAGACCTCATCTCTACAATAAACCAAAAATTAGCCAGTCATGGTAGCGCACGCCTGTAGTGCCAGCTACTTGGAAGGCTGAGGTGGAAGGGTTGCCGGAACCCAGCAGGTTAAGGCTGCAGTGGCCGGGAGCGGCCACTGCACTCCAGTCTGGGTGACAGAGTGAGACTCCAACTCAAAAAAAAATTAGCCCTTGCCTGGGCCATAGTTTCGAAGAACTCTCTTTGGTGTTTCTACCATGAAAAAGTGAAGTCTTCATGTGACTTTCTCTCCCTTTCTCCACAGGTGAGGGCTGCATTGCCCTTCGGTTAGAGGCCACAGAAACCCAGTTGCCCATCTACACGCCTCTCACCCATCATGGAGAGCTGACAGGTCACTTCCAGGGAGAGATCAAGCTGCAGACGTCCCAAGGCAAGAAGAGGGAGAAGCTGTATGGTAAGCATGACCCCCTCTCCAGAGCCCTCTTCAGTCCCTGCCTTAGGGACAGGATTGTGCTTTCCCCCAGCAAACCCTTGCATATTCTCTTCACGGCAGCCTCAGAGCGTAAATTCAGTTTGGGAAAAGATCTCTGAGACGATGTGACCCAACTTTCACTTGAAGCAAGGATTTTCCCATAGACCCCCAACACCCAGAAGCCCCAGATTACCCTCCCCAACCTCAAGCAATTTACATCCTTAAGGACATGAAGCCTGTGAATTTTCCAGTGCTCCTCCTCTCACCCTCCATCAGCCTTTGGGTCTTGTCACTTCCCGTTAGTACCTCTACCACAAAGCAAACCTACCTCATGCTGAATGACTTTTTCCAGGTTACCCAGGGAAAGAGACCAATGCAATGGCTGCATTGGAGATTTAAAATTTCCCTTGTGACTTGTGCTTGTCCACACCACCACATGGTACCCATTCACATATACAGCACACCCTCTCCTATGGTGCCTACCTAGGGCTCTGCACCTTTCAAACTGCTTTCATATACCAGATACATCTGGGAGGCTCTGCCCTCATCCTTATACTTGTCTTTGACTTTTCCCTAATCTGACTCAGCATCCTCTAATCTCTTCTATTGAGACAGGGCTCCCTGACACCCTCTTCAACTTGAACTCAGGCCTTTCTGTTCTGTTAAACCCACTTTCTGGCTTTGGCTGGCCATCAGGAGGCATTGTTTATCATGCCTCGCAGAAGCAACACTTAGTCACATATACTCATCATAGGTGTTCCTTCCCCCATGTGAAATGCCAGCCTTGGGAGTCATCTCTTGTCTATTCCTAAATGAGACCCTGCTAATTTATCTCTTATGTAAAGTCACCACTCTGTCGCAAGAATATAAAAATGTGGCTAAGAGACCTGAATAACATGATGAGAACACTAGGGAGTATCTAGATTTGAATCTGTAATTTTCTCTTAATCCTGCTCAAAGTTCTAAAACTTGAAAATTAACATGAACACTTCTCAATAGTATCTATCATGTTAAAACTTCTCTGCTTGAAGTAATAAGAGTTTTGAGAAGTATAGAGCTGCCTAAAACTTGTAAATTATTTCTTCCGTTTACACAGGCAATAGGTGTGTTTTCCCCCCTTTTCCTCTTCACTTTAATTCCTGCTCAAAGCACTCAAATAACAATGCCTACAATGAATTGGCCTTTAGCGTTATACTTGATAATGCATAAAACGATCACCTCTTAAATGTCATCTCATTTATTCCCCACAACAGCATTGTTATTCTTGCTTGGTAGTTGGGGAAACTGAGGCACAGAGAGTTTCTGTGATTGGCTGCAGATCGCATACCTAGTAAGTAACTAGGTCAGGGTGAAAGTGTAGCGTCATCCAGTGCCCAGCTGGAATTCATAAAAGTTTCCTGCCTCTAACATGAACAGTGAAAGAGAAGAGTTGACTACATATGAACAGTATGGTGTCCTCCACGTCAAGGAAGGCTGTGGCCCATCAAGGGGTGCTGCCCCCCAGCATGTGGCTCCCCTGTCTGCCCTGTAGGAGTTCCTTTCTCTAGCAGGATAGTGGATTGGGGTGATGGGGACTCCACACCTTCACAACCACAAGTCAGAAATGAAGATGGGGGGGTCCCAGCTCCCCTTTAAGCCCCATGGACAGGTTGGCTTTGAGTACAAATGCTCTTCGCATTTATATATTACAAATACATTGCTATATTTGTTTTACTCTAATCTGACAAAACTTACTTGCCTGTTTTGTCCCTTGCTGAGACCAGTAAGTTGGAAACGCCACATGAAAGGACAACTCTGGGTCCCACGACGCAACTTTCCTCCTTCTGGAGCCATGACAGGCATAACTAACAATCACTAAACTCTTATGAGGCCTCAGAATCTCATTTAACCCACTTTCCCAGGTAGCCATTATTCACTGTCCAGCTTTGGCTCACAAGGGGAAACCAATTTGCCATCCCTGGCCCAAACTCAGGGGGCCGGGCCTTCATGTGCTCTTTCCTGGTCTTTTCCTTCCAGACTTCGTGAAGACGGAGAGGGATGAGTCCAGTGGGCCGAAGTCCCTGAAAAGCCTCACCAGCCATGACCCCATGAAGCAGTGGGAACCTGCCAGCAGGTAAAGCGGGGGTACTGGGGTTTGGTTACAAACCAGCGTGGCTCTGCAGGCCGAGGGCCCACAAGAATGTAAGCTGGAGCACAGAGACACCAAGGATGCAGGAGATAGGAAGCCCTACAGGAAGATGCTCCCCTGCCTTTCGCTCCACGAGGCTCCTGACTGCTGGAGAGACTGGTGTGACTGTGACAAAGCCTGGGAGACTTCTCCATGCTGGAAAGTTCCATTCAGCCCAATTAACTTTTGTTGACCCCTACTGTGTGTCCAGTTCTAGAGAAGCCAAGGCAGATTAGGTGCAGTCCCTGGCTTAGAAACTCACGGCCTGGTAGAAGCATGTGTAGTGATGGCAGAGATGACTGAATGATTCCAAGTCAACAAATGGTGGCCGTGTCTCCCATGGGACTGGGGACATCAGCAGTCATGGGGTCCATGGCCAGCAAACTCTATCCTGTTCCTAACGAAAGTCCCGAGAGGAAATGCACACAGGCTGTTCTTCACAGAGGCTGAACTAGGAATAATGTATTCTTAGGAGAAGGCCATCCTCAATAGCAGGGTCGCCCCAACTTGCTGATGTAGTTTCCTGAATTAAGCCAGTGAGGCCTCTGTTCTCTTTGCTGGCTCCCCTGCTGAGAGGGCAGAGCTGTGCCAGCGACCAACACAACTTGTTCCTCTCTTCTCTCCGGTCGCCACACCACGTGTCCTCTCAGCCCTTGCCCTCATCCCAGCCACCCCCACTGCACACAGGAACACTCATATCCTGAGCACTTCCAGGTCACAGCCATGGGGGCTCAGGCGTTCCCTCTCACCCTTCCTCCCCAACTATGGTCCCATCAGTGAATGCATCCTGACTCTAAAGAGTCTGCTGGGCTCCAGAATCAGAGTGGGTGCAGGGAAACAAACTGTTTCTCATTTTGGTGAGTATGAGAACTAGCATTTATTTCTTAGGCAGGCACAGGCGGATGGGAGCAAGGCGGATGGGAGCCAGGCGAGTGGGGCATTTCTTATCACCTGTGTACTCAGAACTCAGTTGGGTCTCATGAAGTCACTGGCTGACACAAAGGCAGCATGCAGTGTGTGTCTCTGTTAGGGCCACTTGCCTGGGTCTGGGTCATCCCCTCCTCAGCTTTAAGCTGATCGCCCCATTCCAGGTTCCACCCTTGACCTCCATAAACTCACACTCATTTTTTCAAACGCCGGTGTGGCTGTCTCTGTTCTGACACTGCATACACAAGCATGCAGGCTGATATGTTTCAGATGAACTCCTGTCAGATCCTGCCTGAAAATCCCCTCCTTCCCACTCCCCTAGCCACCCATACTGTCTCTTGGCCCTGCTGGCCTGATCAGCTTCTCATTCCATTCTCCCAACTTCCTCACTGGCCTTCAGACCGTAAGGCCAAGCCCCCCGCACCTCAGGGCCTCTGTATTTACTCTTACCACCACCAAGAACATTCTCCTCTTCCTTCTCTCTTACCTGCTTATCTTCTTATCTCAGCTAAAAGAGCTACTCCTCAAACGGGACCTTCCCTGGTCACCCAATGACCAGTTGGACCCTCCTGCTAGTCTCCATCTCTGCCTCTTGTCTCCATCTCTGCCTCTGCCTCTTGTTATTCCCAAACATCAGCACTACATAAATACCATGTCTCTCTGCTGAAATTGTTTGTTGTTTGTCTATCCCCTCAAATGTGAGTTCCATGAGAACAGAGACCCCAGCTGCCTCATTTACCACCATATTTCCTCCTTCTGGCCCAGTCCTGGTGCTGACTAGACTTCAGTAACTATTGTGCTTCATGGATGAATACATGAGTGAATGAATGAATCAATCAGTCCACTACCCACGAAGTGAAGGTGTTGAGGACAGCCTGAAATGGCCTGAGGGACATTAGAGGACATGTTCTTGGGCTGGAGCTGACCCCGAGAAGGGAAGATGTCCTGAGATGTGACTCTGTGTCTTCCCTGCAGGGCCCCTCCATGTGGTGGCTCCAGCATCACTGAAATCATCAACCCCAACTACATGGGAGTGGGGTCCTTTGGTCAGCCAGTGGCTCTGCACATGAAGCAGAACCTGTCTCCCGACCAGCAACCCACAGCCTGGAGCTATGACCCGCTGCCCAAGGACTCCTCCTTGGGGCCTGGAAGGGGAGAGAGTCCTCCAACACCTCCCTGCCAGCCACCCATATCACCCAAGAAGTTTTCATCCTCGACAGCAAACCGGGGTCCCTGCCCCAGGACGCAGGAGCCAAGGTAAGCATCCTCTTCCTTAGGACCTCTCTCTTCCCTGCCTGTGGGAGTCCCCTGGATTTTTTCCCTAGAATGGAAGCTTTGTGAGGGTAGGGATTGTCTGCTATGCTCACTATTTATCCTCAGGACCTGGAACACAGGAGACCCTCAAGGCATGTTGTAGAATCTCCCATATCCTAACCTATTGGTGCAACTTGATTTAAGAAAAAAAAAAAAAAGATAGAGCTGGGCATGGTGGCTCACACCTGTAATCCCAGCACTTTGGGAGCCCAAGGCAGGAGGATCACTTGAGCCTAGGAGTTCGAGAACAGCCTGGGTGACATACTGAGACCTCGTTTCTACCAAAAAATCAAAAAAATAGCTGGGCCTGGTGGTACATGCCTGTAGTCCCAGTTACTCGGAGGCTGATGCAAGAAGGATGGCTTGAGCCCAGGAATTCGAGACTGCAGTGAGCCATGATTGTGCCACTGTACTCTAGCCTGGGTGACAGAGTAAGATCTTGTCTCAAAAAAAGAGAGAAATTTGTAAAGATACCGCAAAAAAAGCAACCTCCTGTAAAAACATTTATCAAAAAATATGCTTCGGCCTCCTGTAAAAACATTTATCAAAAAATATGCTTGGTGGCTCGGCCTATAATCCCTCGCTTTGGGAGGCTGAGGTGAGTGAATTGCCTGAGCCCGCGGGTTCAAGATCTGCCTGGGCAACTCGACGAGACCTCATCTCTACAATAAATCCAAAAAAAGTAGCCGGGCATGGTAGCGTGCTCCTGTAGTTCCAGCTGCTTGGAAGGCTGAGGCGGAAGGATCACTGGAGCCCAGCAGGTGGAGGTTGTGGAGGGGCCCATGGAACATGAGTGGGAATTTCTATGTAGAAGCCCCTCCCAACCTCCACTTCCCCTCTCTTCTCAACCATGTGGGTCCCTGTTCCCATAGGCAACCTTCTAGTCTCTCCCATGGGGGACATTAGAAATTGGAACTAGGAATGCCAAAGGGAGGCAGAGCAGCCAGCCTGCAGAGGGAGCAGAATGTGGCGACGAAATCTCAGGGAAGCCCAGGAGGTTAGAGAAAGCTGATCTGAGTCTAGAACGGGTCCGGGCAGAAGGATGGGAATCAGAAAGGAGACCAGGTCAGGTAGCCGAGGAACCAATTCAGTACTTCCCAGAGCTGCAGCCACTCTCACGCACGGATGCTGCCGAACAAAGCAGAGCCAGCCCAGGAGCACCTTGTGGAAGCGCAGATGGGGAGCCCTGACAGTTTCTAGAAACCACAGGATGACAGATGGACATGAAAAGTGCAGGCCTAATTAACAATGGTTTAAGATATGCAAAATAGCATGAGCATTGTCTCCCTCCGGGGCTGTCTTTGCTGTTTTCGAATGACTTCCTCTAACACTGGTTTTTTTCTTTTCTCTGTGAGAACTTGGGTTTCCCAAGGGTGCTGACTGCCATGCAGCTGTTAGAACCAGCAGAGGGCGCGCTGTCTGTCACACTGTTCTCTTTTAGCTCCGTGCAGTTCTATTCCCATACCTGGCCTGGTGGGGCTTTCCTCTGAAGGGAGGAACAGCTCTTCCTCTAAAAAATGGGTAGATGAAAGGAAGGCAGGAAGGAAAGGAGAAAGAGAAGAACAGCACTGAACAGAATTGCCCTGGAGCTTAGCTGTGTCTCTCTTCACCTCTGGTTTTCAGAATTTGTTGATAATACCTCAGACTCTGGTCATTCCCTAAGAAACTTGGGGGAAGAAGAAACAGCCTCTTCCCCTGGAAAAATGAGGACAAAAGCCACTATACAGTGGGCATTGAGGTGCCTGTTTGGCAAGGGTCACCTTGTTGGGGACCCCAAGAAATGGAACTCTAAGCGACCATAAAGGGAAAGGAGGTTAATTACTTGTTTAAGTAAATGTTTTTAAGTTCCAAAGTAAAAGATTCTTTGTGCTTGACAATTTGAACACAGCTTGGGGAGAGTGTGTTCCCTCCAGCAAGCCCCATGGGGGATAGCCAAGACAGGCATTCACAGGCCAGGAGTCCCTGGAGAGTTCTAAGCTTGCTCCTTGCCAAGGAGGTAATTCAAGGTAGGAACCCCACAGCTCCCATGCCTACCTGCATCCCTCTCTGCTGCTCCAAGACCCCAGCTCAGCCAGAGTAATGGCTGTAGAAAATGGGGTCAGCAGCACCATGGGTGTTCTTTCACCATTGCCCCAAACTCATGTGGGGTGACTCACCGTTGAGTTTTCCCAGTATGGTTCCAGTTTTAGCACTAAAAGTCCCACTTCCAGGGAAGTCCTTCAATGCTAGGCAAAGGAAGACAACTGGTCACCTTAGACTGAAATCATTTGGTTAGGAGAAGAATTTTTCTCAGACCCTGGCCAATGCTTAGCTTCTTTAGAGAAGAATAGAGACTTGATGTGTCCTGAATCTGAGAAGTATAGTCATTTGTCACAGGAATTAACTCTGTCCCCGGGATGCCAATTCACTTATTCAACAACCATGACTTTCACTGGAAATTGATTTTTTGCGACCTTTGGGCTAGGGAATAAGACTTTTAAAAAAAAATTTTGTGGTTTTCCTCAGTCTCCCTCTGCCTGCCCCCACCAAGGCTTCCCTTCTCTAAGGGCTACAAAAGTTTCCTCTTAGAGGGAAGATTCTCTGGTCTCCATGGCTCTGCTCTTTTCCCAGAAGCGTGAGCTTTGGAATCCCAAAAATGCTTGTGTCCAGGGCTCTCTTCCTGGTCCTGCCCCCAATTCTCTGAAGTGAGCCCCCTCCTCCCATTTCAGCCACAGGGAAGAGGTGGCCAGGTGTCAGGTCCTCTTGCTTCTTCACCTGAAAACTCATGGTCATTGCTGTTGGTACCTTTCTAAGCTCTCTTCTCTAGACTAACAACAAAGGCCTTTGAGGGTCCACACAGGGATGTGAAAGAGGACCTTGGGTGGAGGGGTGGCTTTCCAAAGTTCTTGTTCGAGACCCCAACATTTCTAGTTGTGCAACTGCTCCCAGGACTTTCCAGAAAGTTATGGGTGAAACCCCTCTTTGGCATGCCCCTGAGGCTAGCCTCCCCTGAGCCCCCTGGCTCCTGGGCAAGGATGACATCCTGTCTCTGTCCCCTGAGCCCATATCTCCTCCCCAAAGAGTCTATTAGCCTTGGCTGGTAAGCACCTATGGGCTGCGTTTCAGCACACATCCCATCAGTGACAGACATCATGGCCTCAGCAGCTTGGTGGCTTCCCAGGGACCCACATTTTCTTCAGATAGCTTCCTTTTTGCAGAAAGCAGAACTCAGAACTCTCCCCTGGGAGATTTTGCCATTGGTCAGAAGGTGAAATGTATTCTCATTCCTCAATCTCTTAATTTGCTCAGCAGGAAATCACCTCAAGTAAGAGCAGTGATGAGTCAGAACACAAAGGGTTACAACACGAAATTCTTTCCCTACCCTTGTCAGGGGTCTGTTTTCTTGCTACTGATCTGTTTCCCCCAGTAGTCACAAATGTCCAAGTTCCCTCTGATTTTCACCACGACCTCCATTTGTTCTTTCCCACTGTGAGTTATGAAGCCTTCCAGGGAGAGGACTTCATGCAGCAGGAAGGAATACCGTGTTAATCGGGATGTCAACCTCCTGAGCACAGATTCTTGCTTGTGGCTGCTTCACTGCAGCTGGAGCAGTTCTACACATAGGCAGCTTCTGATGCATTTGGTAGATGGAGCTTCTTGAACTGAGACCCTTAAGTAGCACAGATGGTCACTGAGGAGAGAGGTCTGATCACCTTCCTGAGTGGCCATGCAAATGAGGGGTCAGAGTAGAATTGCTGGAGGCAGAATTGGTTGGGGGGGTGGGCAGGAAAGAAGGCCTGCTAGTGCAGTGAGGGTTGGGGCTGTGGAGAGCAAGCTCATCTGATGAGAATCTTTTTGTTCACTGATGCTCTGATGTGAATGGTTTTGTTGTTATTGTTGTTGGTTTTATGGTGGAAAAGATCCCAGGTCAGAACTGAGCTGCCTGTGAGGACAACAGTCAATTAACACAAAACTATCTCCTTCCTTCCTCGTTTTTTTTTCTTTTTTTAAAAATCGAGGTGAGGCTGAGCTTGGTGGCTCAGCCTGTAATCCCAGCACTTT